AATCAGCATTTTTTATTGTTGAAATCTTCGTCGTTTCATCAGCTTGCATTGAAATTTTATCCATGAAAAAAATGTTCACGTGATAAAGGAACAGGAGTGGGGAAAATTATTTGACAATAATCGAATTTAAAGTGAACTTTCCGTAAAAACTCATCTAAATATTCGGCTTTTGTATTCGAATCGCTCATGCGATTGTTTCCCTAATTCGAGCCGAATTTTCCAATAAACGTTTCCATTTGGTTAATTAATGGATTTTACGGTTCGGAACTTTAAGTTGGTTCGTATTAAACAGCGAAAAATGTTTACGTATTTTGTAATATTTTTCTGGAGCGCTCGCTTTGAAATTAGCTTGAAAATTGCCGAGCAGCTTGCTAATATTTAATCAGCTCAGGAGACCAATTAAATATTTAATCGACAGCATGAACAACAGCTTCGGTTTAATTAATCTTAAGAAATGGTGCATTTGGCTGGCGCTCCGAAGCGGAATCTTGCTTTTGTTTCTTTTGTAAGCGCAGTTATAATTAAACGGAAATAATTAGGCTTTTTGCAAATCACGACACAAATTAATAACATATACCTGCATTGCATTGCTCGATTAATTTATCTAACAAATCCATTTCAAAACTGAAAAGTTTTTTCTTCGTGGCGTTTAACGTTTCGCTAGCTCGCATCGCTGACATCTTCAGAGGTGTAATTTAGCAGAATTTTCTTTAGAAGCCAAAGCGACGATTTTGGGATCAGCGGATTTGCACGTTAGGGAGGGCAGTTCTGTGACGTTTATCTGCAAAGTGAATCAGGGACCACATGATTTGAACACTGTTTTTTGGTATAAGGACGGCAACCTTCTGCAGCCAATCGAAAACAATCAATTTCAACGAATAACTGTACAGGTCAGTACTAAAATACAGTTTTTCAGTAGAAACTAACTTCTCAGCTTTTAAAAAAAAATTCTAGTTGCTTTTAGTCTCACTAGATTATCTTCTTTATTACATTGTTTTTTATTTTGGTTCCCTAATATGCAACACTCTGTATATATAAGTGTTAAACAATAACGCTAAAGACGAGTTCTACTCAAAACTATACCGTTAGCGAACTAATTTACTATCTTGTGTTCAAATTTGCTTTAAAAAGTGCATATTGGACAGAATTTTCGGCAATTTTTCAGAAATAAACATCTTTTATACAGGAAAAATTGCTTCATTTCCAGCACCAAACATGGAAAATTGATATGAAGCATGTGTCAATAGTTAGGCTTATTAAATAGCGTTTGCACGAGCCATTAAATCTAAATTAATGCTGTGTGTGTCATACGCGCATGGATTATGAAAAATAATTTTGACCGAAAAATTGATTGTTTCAAGAAAATTTGTTTTATTTGCTTTAGGGAAAATTGTTAGTTCATATACAGCGTCATTAAATTTTTTTGGTTTGATAAATAACGACTGCATGAGCCAATAAATGGAAATTTAACTCGTGTGTGTCATACACTCATGGAGTATGCAAAAAACTTTTTTCACATTAAAATCTTAATAACAAACTTTTTTTTCAAAATACATTTTGATATGCTCCAAATCAACTTTAGGAAAAATAGAGATTTAAAAAAATTCCCAAAATTAGGTTTCAGTATTCGGCCGTCCAGCAGATGGCCTATAAAAACTAACGAAACCCTAAAATCTAATTGGGCCACACATTTTTCAAATCGTTATTTTTATCTTAAGTTGATTGGGAAGTTCTCTAAACGTTTTTCGAAGGAAAACGTTTATTTTCCCGATAATAATATATGAATTTTTGTCATAATCCTTGAGTGTATGACACACACCACATTCATTTCCATTTAATGGCTCCTGCAGTAGTTATTTAACCTCAATATTAAAACACACTGTATGTTAACTTACAATTTTATGGAAAGCAAGCGAAACATATTTTCCTGCAAAAAATTGAATATTTTTTACAATTTTCAAGTAAATTTCGTTCTACTTAAATTTAGTAAATGTGGACCAACGTTCTTCCCAATCACTCTTTTTTTCCTTGAGTTGATTGGGAAGCTGCAGTAAAACACTACGAAATCATGGGTTGGTTAACAAATAAAAAAAACACTTTAAGTCACCCCAAATCTCGGTAAGTTTTGCGCTTAAGGCGCTTTGTTCATAATTTGCAAAGGCTCTGAGTGGGCTCTAAATATAATTATCTATGTACATAATTTAAATAGAGCTGCAAGTGAAAACGTTATTTTAAGGTGAGTTAATAAACATGAGACAGAGTGAGCAATTAGCGGAGCGAATGAGTTTTTTGAGCAATAAAAGCATGACGAACTAGGGCGAGTTGCATAAATTTGCTTTGAACGACGCATGTTTGAAAGTTTGTTAAATTTATGCTTAGTCAAGACAAATGAGCAATTTTGGCTATTTTGAGCTAGCTATTTACTCAATTAACCTGCTTGTTTTTTTTTAATTTAATTATAAAACCCTTGAGCTTCCAAAAATAATCAAAACAACTTTATGTTGTCGGGAAATCCCATGTTCGCATCAATTTTCAACAAAGAGAAATCTGTTACCGAACATTATCTGAGACAGCTCAATTTATCGGGATTATCGCTTTGCTGCTTTTCGTTAACGGAAATACACAAAAAACCCCAAGGTTTTTTGGCATTCATTTTGGGCCTCTTTTAATTTAAAGAAAAGGCTTTCGTTCAGCTAATAAGAGAAATCCTTACATTATTCATTAGAAACCTGAGCCGAAAACCACTCACTTTCCTAAAACTGAATTGCTTTATTCTAAATTCTGGCCATGGCCTGACAGAAAATGGAATAACAAAAATTCCTGAGCGTTTTYGCGTTTGAGGATCTTTTTTTTATTTTCTCTGGATGTCACYAARGGAAATTTGATCCAAAATAAATGTTAATAAATTMAATTCTTAGTCAAACATTGTTAATTTATTTACGAGTTAACCCCTAATGATTTTGGCACTTTTCCTCCTCCTCCTCCATGATTTGTCTTGTAATTACTTAAAATTCAAAATTTGGAACTTAAAAATYCCAGGTTTTCCTAATTAATTAAAGTGCATGAACCTTTTCTTTAATTATTTAATCAACTGTTTCTAATTAATTACGCGAATTGAGGGATCGCTCCTTTTAATGTTTGTCTACACAGTTTTTTGCAAATTTCAGAACGCTTGGAAGGATAGTTTAACATCCCAATTGCATATAAACCGAGTGAACTGGTCGGATTCTGGCAAATATTCCTGCGTACCAACAATCGCCCAACCAGCAGATACAAATCTCTATGTAATTACAGGTAAACACATTAATTTCCTGCGGCAAACGATCAGTGATTTATGCAAAAAGCTACTTTGCGCGTAAATTTAAATCGATTTAATAAATGTTTCCCGATTTCGAGTAAACTAGCTGGCGCCTTTAACTTATCGAAACGTCCTGCAGATGAAGATTTATTGCCATTCAGTTGTTGGGAAATCAGTTTTAGTTAGATAATTGCTGATTCTTAGCCAACAAATAATAAGTTTTTAATTTTAGGCGAACATCCTGCGGCAATGTATCATGGAAACCGAAACAGCAGTGCAACGATCAGCTCAGAACTGGATATTTTCACCGCTTTAACAGTGCTGATTTTATCGAAACTTAGATGAAAATTGAACTTTGGCTGGACATTTCCGTTCTTCATCGCCAGGGTCTTAATTAGCTCAAACCAGTTAGGCGAAAATCGATTGCAAATGGAACAATATTTGGATTCGAATGCATGGTGAACACTGAGCAACGCATTGAAATTTCCAACTTTGTCTCATTTTTTTTTATCATCAGTGATCGATATAATTCCAATTAGTTATTGCTTTTAAAGGCCCATTAATCCTCTATCCAACTGTGTAACATGTGGGTTAATGGGATTAAAATTGAAGCGTTGGAAATTTTTTATTTGCATCGGAACTGAAAAATGATTTCTTTGTTTGGAAGCAATTAATTTTTCTTTTGCTCGCATAAAATTTCAACACGCTATTCTATTGGGGTCAGTTTCAGGAAGCGAATTTGAGTGGATTTAAATGTTTTATGAGGTTTTAAAGTGCTCACTTTAAAAAGTGTTCGTTTTTTCCGTACCTGGAGAATGATTTTCTGTCTAAACCAACTGAACTCGATTGTCGTGTAACTATTTCATAATTAAACGTTTACGAAAAACCAGTTTGTAATACACGTATTAAAACATGCAACGAAAAGCAATAGAAAAATCGTCCATTTTTGGCAAATCTTCTATTTGCTACTCAATTAACTCACATAACACACAAGTCGATGAGGTTCTAGCAAAAAAGTTAAACGGAAGCGTAAAGCGTGACCTCAAGCGTTTCAAGATGGAAAGTATTTATAAAAATTCCTGATGATGATGGCAGTTTTGGAACTTTCAGTGCCAATAAACAGTCTTGAAAGAGCATGATTAAGAAACATTTGCTTCGAAAATCCTTAAACAGTTTAGGTAATGTTCCATGCCCAATACGTTTTTGACCCACCAGTTTGACTAGAAAAATTGCAAAATTCGCGTAAAACAAATCCAAATCCCGCAAGTGTATGATTTTCCACAAATCCTAGATAACTCGTAGCATGTAGATAGTTCATAAACAATATGAGCCAGATAAGTAACCAAATATTCATGGATGTTCTAAGATCCATTGCTCAAGACTATGAGATTATTTAATTATTTCACAGTTTTCTTTTATATTTAAACACTGAACTAAAGGGCCAACTTGTAGTGAAAATATGCTTAAAGCGACAGGAAATGCAGCTTTTTAGGGGCGTTTTTCCGAAAAAAACGATAGAATACGCATGTGATGATTACTGTCCCAACTAACCCAAACAAAGGAAAGTGAATTTTCATATTTCAACGATTGTATTTATTATAAGTATGTTATTTTTCCAAATAAATGTTTGTTTAACCGAACTACGTTGCTGGATGATTGATTTGCCCTGTTTTATCGGGTCAAATCTGCCATTGAAACACAGTTTGCATTAAGAAAAATATATTATTTTACGTTATGTTATAAATATTCCTTATTTACTCATAACTATACAACTTATGCACCAGAAAGTGATTAATAAATTGCAAAAAAATTACGAAGAATCATCGTCTAGTAAATTGATATAATTGTGCAGTGCCAGACTACACCAGGACCAAATACTGTATTTACAATGAAAAAGTTCAAAGTTCTCGGGCAAATTTATTGCTTCCTTCGTTGAAAACCCAGCGATTGATCTAATCGACTAAAAACCGTCGTGCTTCAAGTGCGAGTCCTCCCGATGCACAGGCGGTGGTACGACCTGCAGAGAATTGCCCGATCCCTGAGTCAAATAACCGGCTGGAGCTGGGATACCTACAAGCAAAAACAGGATAAACAACCCCGTTTCAGATAACCCAGAAAAACCCACCAGTTAAATACCCAGAGACGTTCGTGCTGGTGATAAACAGATCGTGCTTTTGGTCCTTGTATTCGGCCCAAATGCCGCTTTTTTCCAATATAGCATTCACTCTGTCGCCGTACAGCAGACTTTTAGTCATCGATTTCAACGCCTTAACGATCTGCGCTTTGGTCATGGCAGGATTATCGATCAAATCCAACCGGTCTTCTAGAAGATTCAGCAAAAACTGAATAAAATCCACTTCTAAGGCTTGTTTCACCAACTGGTCCTGACTGTTCGAAAATAGGCGACTTAGCGCTTCGCATGCGACGGCCGTCATGTCTTTTCGCGCTTGCATCGCTTTTTTCAGCGGCTGCATACACTGGGTTTCGGCAATTGCTCCCACACAAAGCTACAACTCGATAGTCACAAAACTGGCGAAACTTTAAAACTGGAAAAATTTACGTACATTGTTCATTGATAAAGACTTGAGAATGAGGATGGCCGATTTGGGTACCGCCACCAATCTAGCGTTGGATTGGCCCATTTGACGGCAAATCCGGGGAATGTGGCCAAATGCCGGGATTAAATCCAATAGGGCTGGCTGAGCCTGCAGAAGGGCGCATAGAGCGTTTGTTGCCAGTTCGAGAAGTTCCTCCTAAAATATATTTTTATTAGGCCGGTTTTTCGAGGATATTCGCTCTGGAACCGGCCCCATTAACTCAGCTTCTAACAGTTCAAAAGTAAGTTCTCTAAACGCCCCAAAAAGTAGTGATTCTAATTTCAATCGCCCTGCATCAAAGATGTTACAACCATTGAATTAACGTATTGAGAGAATGGTGGAGTTTTCTATTAACTATTTGAAAAATCGCTGTTTTTTGCCTCCGCTAGTTGATTCAAAACCCCAGTATTCTCCTAAAACTCTTTAGCAAGAACCCACGGTTTATCAAAAGTTGATTGAATTACATTAGGAGCATCCTTCGACATGTTGTCCAGACAAGTCTCCAGAAGTTCCGAGAGGAACTCTTTGGGCTTCCGCAAAGTCCATGCGGGATTTTCGACGAACAGCCGAAGATAAACGCCGCCAATGATCACTTCGTTCGGGGCAGTTAAGCTGGAAATTCCATTACTATCCGGTTTCTTCCATTGAATTGCCGGATTCGAACACTGTTCCTTGTAGTGCCTGAAAAAGAGCTCGACTTAATATGAACCAATTTTTTTTAGTTGCTGCACTCACTCATCGGTAAGTCTGGCGACTATTGAACACACCCGATTCTTGGCGTCTTCATTCCAAATAAGCTCTGGGTGCTCATGGCACGACTCCAGCATATGCATTGAAGTTTCTGGACTGTCGCGCATCGCATCCAGGAAAATCGGCGGCAGAAACACTTCGGTGGCAATCCGGATTTTCGGGCCCACCAACTTGTCGAGAATCATTCGGGCCAACAGTTCAGCCGCATTTTGCCGAACTGCAGAAACTGTAGAGTTGCAAAAGAGGTTCAGCAAATACAAAACAGCGCCTTTATTTAGCGCTTCTTTGACGAGCTTCGTGTTGGTCACCAAGGCGGAAAACACGTCCAGGATTGGCTGATGCTGCTCCCGCAAAGTGTACAAACTTAACAACAGATAACTGAGCAGTTCGCATGAAGCGATATCACTGATACACTCGTTGTTTCGCGTCACTACTGCGATCACATTGAGCGATTCTACTTGAACAGGAACATGATTTACCACCAGCAGAGTGAACAGCAACTTGAAATGGCCGATGCATTGTAATTCGACGCCGGGATTATTCCGAATCACTGTCGACAGAGCTTTTAGGGCCATCGTTGAGTGCATGAGCTTGTTGTCTTTGGTTACCGAATAAGCAACGTTGGCCAGGTTTCTTAAGAACTCTAGCTGATCGTGAAGAAAGGCCAGAAGATCCACCACTAAGCTCTTCGGATTCTAAACAGTGATTGATTGACATTAATGTTTCGCACTCAAAGCCCAAACCTCACCTGTATAGGAAACGTGGGTTGTTCATTGTAGATCTTCACAAACACTCCGCCAATCACCAGCTCCTCCGAATGGGCGGAAAACTTGAAAGAAGTGGCCGCATTAAAGTCCACATGTTCCCTGCTTTCGATTTGCCCGGCCAGAAAATCCACCAGTTCCGTTCTAGTGCCATTATTCCAGATCAAATAAGGAGTTTCACTGTTCGAGTTCAGAATTTTCAAAATCTGCAAGTTTCCCCACTTCACTAGTGAAAAACTGTTAATCTTTAGTAAGAATCACCTCGTTAGTTTCCTCCGGGCGCTCATTGACCAAGTGCCCAATAATAAAGGGCGTGAGCAGATGCTTCAAAATATCCAAAATCAAAGTATTGCTGACTGAATACAGTCCAGCCATGGTAGCGCACGCTTTGAGCGACTCCCGAGCTAATCGGTTGCTCACCGCCTGCTCGTTGGTCTCTTCATTCCGCTCTATTCCCCCCTCTTCTAGGGTGAAATCGTACTTGAATATAAACAGCATCAAATGCCACAGAGCGCCGCTCTTCAGTAGCTCCAATTGCAGAATGGGATCGACTGCCAACGCGCTGATGCATTCTGTGGTTATGCTGCAAAGCTTCGTAAGATGCTAAAATAAAATTCAAATTTAATAACACCCTCAAAATCAGGCATTTGTAAAGGTCAAATTAAAATATTTGGGATAAATACAAAACTGCTCTTGTTTTACAGTAGAAGAGATTGTCCAGCTCGGCTTCAACTACAGGAGCGGACGCGATAGGCCGCAATTTATCAGTTTGAAAATGGATGTTTGACCCAACTGCCCTCTCTAATTTAAAAATCCGAATCTTCCTAACTAAGGCCAGTACAAATTTGAAATGTTTGCCATGTTTAGCGAACACTTTACTTTAAAGATGCTGAGCGTTTTATAAAAATCGTGCGGAAATTGTGCCCGCCTAGTAAACTTCAGTCTGAAAATGAACGAATGCATCCAGCTGCTTTTTCTTCTTAACAAATTCGCTTCTTTGGAACAAAGGCAAGCAGCAATTTAAAAATTTCATCATATTTAGGTTCTGACGGAGAAAAAGCCAGGATGAAGACTAATGGTTTGCGAAATTGGCAAATATCGGTTTCCAAGTAGAAGGTTGTACATAAGCAACAATAATACAACAAAGGCAAATAAGAAAATAATACAAAATGTTTTCCCATTTGCAATGCAATTTGAATTGCATTTGCAATTCACTTGTTATGGTTTGAAAATATTCAACCATTTTAAATAAAAATTCCATGGCTGTTGCATAATCGTACCTTGAAATGCAGAATGCGACATAAATCCTTAACAAGTTGTGGCAAATTAACGATTCGCTCCCTGCAGGCTTGGAATTGGGCGGCCACACTGAAGCACCTCGTTATATGGATGCAAACCTGAACGGCCACATCGTCCGGTTTGGAGGATCTGCTCAACACGTCCACACACCGGGAGAAAGATTCCAGCAAAACCTGCATTCAAATGCAAAATAACCCCGATATCCCACTAGAGACACTTTGGGCATTAATTACTTCCAGCCCGTTCTGCCTGCGAAGCTCCTCGGCATTAAGAGCTGAACAGTTCACAGTGTGATAAGCCAGTTCGGCAGCGGAAGCCAATAGAGGCTCAGTCTTGGAGAATAATTGATCGTCATTGGTCTCGATTTTAATTGTGGTGATCAGCTGCGGATATCCAGAGTATTTGTAGGGCTTCAGCACTGAAACGCATTCATTAAACGGCGTGTTAGAGAGGGGTGGGGCTCCATACCTTCAGAGTGACGGTGGAAGAGAATGCTTTGCGTCTTCAACAGCAGGACGATGTTATTAGGATTCGGCCCATCGGCATTCCAGCTGGTTCTGCTGCAGAGAAACTCGTAGGCCTGATTAACCTGCTCAAATCGCTCCTGGAAAATTGCACCGTGGAAAGACTTCAACAAATACAACAGAACAAACAAATAAGGAAATCTTACTCTTCCTTCGGGATTTTTGTCCGGGTGAAACTGCTGCGCTAACTTGTAGTAAGCCTTGCGAATCACTGCTTCATCATGCGAGGTGCCTTGCAGGCCCAAATTTCCATATGCCTCTTCCACAGTCATTTGGGGCGGCTTTTTCTCCACCTCGCACTTCCAGGTGTCCAGCACGTCCTTAAGCAATGCCACCTGGAAAACCCGATTAGAAAGACCTCTGCTGGGAGCAACTTCCTGCACTTACTGGGTCTGGAATGGGCCAGTCGGGGAACTTCACATTATCGCACAGATGTCGCAGGTAGAAAATGTTGCAAAAGAGCTCGCGCTCCAATTGCGGGTACCGAATGCTGGGTATGGCTATATACAAGTAACGGGCCATGGTATGGGTGCGCAACCTTGGCGTAAAGTCGGCGATATGTGCAGCTATTCGCTCAATCAACATCCGCCTGAAAACATGTAAAAAGCCTAGCTGAGATCCAAAAAGCCGCACTTTTAGCGCCTAGTTACCGCATCAGCGAGTTCCAAATGGCTTCCGGAGTATCGAATTCGCCCAGAAATATGTGGGCGAATTTCTCAGCGCCGTAATTTTCCAGATAGTTGATCATAGCTTCAGGCAAAAGACGCCCCAGAATACTTTTCTGAGCTGCTGTTGTTCTTGACTAAAATTCAAACAAAATTGCCTCAGAAAACCTGGATTTTGCTCCACTGCTCACCTCGTCAGTCTTAAAGGCCTGTTTCATGTGCGTCAACTGCAAAAAGCGTGCTATCGGAAGCACGTTACTGCCCGTGTACATCAGAATAAAGTAAAAAACTCCAGTTAAATAAACTTTGGGCATCTCGGGGTTATCGGTCATTATCTCGCATAGTAGCGTGGATACTTTCTCCACTAAAATCGGGTCGAAAGTGAGCAGCAGCTGCACTACATGCGACAGCACCGTCTGCTCTGAAAGAATTCGTTTGATTTTTGGAATGGGGCGCACAATCGCCCCGTCAGCGTCCCTGCTAGGGAAATACTCGCACATCCTGATCAGCACATTGAGAATATGGGTGGCTAAGTCGCTTTCGTTCAGAACAGGGTTTCCTTTGGCTAAAAGACACCACTTGAGCTGGGGAAGTTGAGCCAGAGCCCTCCACCCATCCAAGCCCATGGCCCAGCAGCGGGTTTTACTTGTAATTGCCCCTTTGGAGAACAATTCCTTGACCTAAAACCGCCAAATAACCCTGAACATGCCTGAAAAAATGCATGCGCAAAATTACCTCGTCTAAAGTAATGGGGCCTTTGCCGCCCTCATCCGTATTATAATGCCACTCTTTCTTCTGCTCGATGTACATATCGGGACCGGCTTCGATAACATTAGTTTGGGTGGGAATTACCGCCCTTGATGTGTGAAGATGGGCCAAAGTCATTAAATCCACCAGAATCTTCACGCCGCCCATATCTATCAGTTCCCGCACATTCTTCCTGTGCAACATCAGCTTTCCTATAAAGGTAACTAGTCGGTCTCTTTCCATCTTGTCTATGCACTGAAAAGCATCAAGAAATGCTGGTTAAATTCAAATGAACCTGCGGATATAAATATTACTCGTTCAAGCATGACGACTATGTATTTGGTATCGCTGAACGGTCCGATGTCTTCGAAATAACGCCCATAGACGATGGCCATGGCTTGCAGGCACATGCATTTCATTTCTCCTTTGCTGGTCAGCAGGAATCGATGGTAGAGGTCGTTAAAAAATTCATACCTAAAAGTGTAGGTGTTTGAGCAAGCCAAAAATCACATTACACCTATTCGATAGAGGGTTGGACTATAGAAACAAAACTGAGCATTACGATTTTCTTATGGGTGAGTCGTCGTTATGGTCATCCATTTCCAGTAGCAGCCGCAAGTAATAATCGCCAATTTTCACTTCTTCGGCCAAACATTGATAGTTCAGCTCAAACTCTTGGTGATTCCATGAAACCAGCGCGTTTCCTGCCAAGTCCTTGTCGTTGGAAAACTGGCGAATTTCACTGTCTAAAGCCGATCGCAATTCTTCCCTAGTCTGCAATGGGAATTGGTTGATTAGAGCGTTTTCCTATTTAACCCAGGAAAGAACCTTATGGTTCCAAATCAAGTTGGGAAGAGCATGATCTTGACTGAAGCTCCAGTAGAACAGCGCCCAGTTGCTCTCGGCTTTAACTCGCTCTCTTCGTTTCCTCAGCACAATCGGCCGCTCCTTTATCTTCTCCTCACGTTTCAAGCTGATGCCAACCTTAGCGCCCCAATGCTGCAGCGCCAAATTCGTGTAATACTCCACGTGCTTCTCCACATTCTTCAGCTGCCTTTCCACTGTTATCCAATTGGGATTTCTTCGCGTCTTCATCGCATGATCTTGAGCGATCTTCAAATTATCGCGATGATTCAGTAGTTCTTGTTCTTTGGCTTCTTTAGGCACTTGCTCCGGAGAGTCGAGGAACGATATAAGTCCAATGGGCTGAAGAACACAAAATCATCTAAAATTTAGTGGGGATTTTGAAAAGTTACCATGATTCTCTTTAGAAGGCCCATTGCAATTGGATTGCCGGTCACCCACAGGCCTGTAAGATGCCTAGAGAGCTGTCGATGTGTAAGCATTCGTCCATCGGAGCCCTGCGTGTATAAAGAGGAGAGAAGATGCCTGGGCAAGGCCCCTTCAGCTAAGGAGAGATTTTGCATCTTCACCGCCACCTCAGAGTCCCCTTCTTCGATCAAGGCCCGCATCACTAGTCCCACTCCCTTGACAATGGCCATGGAAGGGTGCTGCAAAGACCGAAAAGACTAGGGTGAAGCTGGCGCAACTAAATCTACCCACTTGGAAGAGTTTGAAGAGAATTCGGCCTCTATCTGCAACCATTTCCAGTAGCGTATCAAAGTGTTTGCCATCAGTGGTTTCACTGTAGGGCACACATAGGGCGAAGGTGAGGAAATCGAGCATCGAAGAAACGACCAGAGCTCCAGAGCCTTGGGCCTGCAAGCAAAGGGCAAAGAAAAGGGGGGTTGGGGAGTCAATAATAAGACGGTTTACTATATGGGTCGTCCACATGTTGAGCAGACTCTCCAAGAACGGTTTAGTTTGCAGAAGCAGCGACTTATTCAGCTGCTCCTGCTTCAAATCGTAATCATCATGCATGGGGTGCATCAGGGCGCAAATCATATCCATGGCTGCGTGCGTGACGCCGTGATTGTTCCTTTTAAGGGCCGTGATCACTTTGATTCCGATCGACTCCCGAAATCTGCAATGGAATTGATCTTTTCCTTTAGTGAGAAGTGCAGCGTCTACCGACTTACCCGGGGAGTTTGGTGAAAGCAGCAAACCCGATTTTGCTGGCCGCGAGTCTACGGAGCGCATGGAATTGGGACTCGAGTTCTTCGGCTGAAATTAGCTTCTGGTCGCCTTCGCGTGATACCAGCGTTTGCAGGGCGGCTACGATCAGTTTTTCTTTGTTCTCGGAAAATATTCCCTGGGGAATATAAATGCGGTAAAAAATGCCCATTGTATGGAGAAAGCCCGTAATTTTTCTTTGGGTGTTTTGCATCAAATAGTGATCGTGAGCGAGTCGTTCAATGGTACAAAACAGTTAAGAATTGCGATAAACCGACGCATCATGAGCACAGCTTCACTTCTCTCATTGCAGTTCAGTTTAAAAATCGTTCTTCTCAAAGAGTCTAACGCCTTAATTTAAGACAAACTACACAAACCCACCCCATTCATGTAAACCCGATAAACTTACTTCTTGGGTAACGCTGTACAAAAGCCCGCTATATGAAATGTTGGCATTGAAGCGCTTCACACAATTAGCGAGAGTCAAATGCGGCAACGAGCTCTGGAATAGTTTCAAATGCAAACTCTCCACCTCTTCCTCAACGGGGATGTTCAAAGGTCCCAGCCGAAGGCCCTTGGGGGTGGGACGCATTGTAATGTAAACGTCCTTGTTCCCAGAGGCTCGCACCCCATCCAATAGGGACGCCAACACCGAGTCCCTTTAATGGACAAACTTTTTAAAAAACCCTGCAGGTTTTGGGCACCACCTACCTGTCGGTGGACGTGTAAGTCCGAATCTGTCCATTAACGTACTCTATACTAAACTGTTGCGGGTTATCACTATCGCGCACTAAAGCAAATATATCACATAAGGGTTGCAACGTACAAATACTGTAGGTTTGAGGATCGCGCTCGAGCAGACAATGCTCGGATAGGCAGAGAATTCGTCGGACGGCCTCGGAATGTCTGGCTTTGTGGATTTTGTGGACGAAAAACTCGGATGCGGACGTTAGAAACTCATCTTCACTATGGGAAGCCTATTAGAAACTCATCGAGTCCCACGTGTAGAAAACTTACCTATATTTGCCGAACCTTTGCCTCTGGAAGTCATCCAGACTGATTGGCTGGCCTAATACTTTGATGTTGATCCCCAAGAACATGGAAGCGTTTTCCGCAATTTTGATTTTAATTTCCTCAAAGTCCACTGTTTGGAACATATGCAGGCGCCCAAATCCGCCACAGACTATCACAAAACCACCTGCAATCCATAGGAAAACGCCAGTTTGGTTCACTTCGTTGCCCTCTAGCCTCACCTGGGTAATCACACACCGTGCAAATCCCCTCAAAGTCCTTGTAGGTGTAACTGGCAAGAATAGTATTGGTAGTCGGATCCAGTTGGTCAAGAGAGTAAGGAGTGACTTCCAATAGAACTGGTAACCGTATATCGGACCAATGGTGCTTATAGGCTTGGTAACGCTACAGAACATGTTAAATAACATCAAATAACCAGTCGAAACACACTTACATAAATTTCTTTGGGTTTTTCGATGAATAAATGCTTAAACTTCATGGTTTCGGTAATAACATAAGTGCGATGTTCCGTGGAGAAAATCATTTTGTTCAATTTTTTGTCCTTTTTCACTGTTATCTGGTACTCGTGCGGCGAATTGGCGCCAGTCTTGATTGGCTGAATCGAGTAGAACTCATTGTACGGCCACTTGTTGGTCACCTCTAGAGTGGAAGGGTTGTAGGTGGTCACTCCCTTCGATCCGATGGAAAATATGCGTTTGTATCTGAAATAAGAGACGGAAATTTTGGGTGCAAGTTAACAGGCGTCTGAAAAATCAACCACGGTCAAATTGGTCGCGTTTAAGATGAGACCTTCCTCTTGGCTGGGCCGAAATTTCAAGTAGTTGCGTCAATTGAGTTGGCTGTTATGATTTTTTTAGTAACTGCACTACAAGTTATGCGGTTTCAGCGGTAAAGTTCAGAAGCTTCCAACGATTCAGCCGGTGCTCGACTTTAAACGAAAATTTGTCTAGTTTTGGATAAAACCTCCTCTTCGTTGGGTCGACATTTCAAGAAGCTGCGTTAACTGTCTTGGGAGCCATGAATTTTTGTTTAAATGTACTACAAGTTATGCGGTTTCTTAAAATGTACGTCCAGTTCAAAAGCTTCCAACGATTGAGCTCGTGCTCGGTTTTAAACGAAAAATCATCTAGCTGTAGGTAGAACTTTCCTCTTGGCCTTGCCAAATTTTCAAGTAGCTCCGTCCTCCGATTGGAGAGTTACAATTTTTTATTTAAATCCCCTGCATTTTTGCCGGATTCTTACATTCCGCATCTTAGCATCTTAAAAACAACTCAAGGAGCCAATTCTAATAAAAGTCAATCATTTCATAGTTTGGGAGTTTAGTCAGTTGCAAAAACCCAAACCACCTGAATTATTCACCAAGCGATAAAGTAGCWACTCTAGTTTTTTACTAGAAAATGCCACTTTAGTCGAAAAYGAGTGAAATTAGAGCTTTTAAAGAAGGGTACCCTTTCTGCGCAAAAAACAATGAACTATCAGCACAAGCTTTCAAATTGCCATTATTTTCAGTGGCGTAGAAGTTGGRAACCAACTAATCCCCTCCAGCACTAAACCGCACAACCAGCACTAAAACATTTTTTTTACTCACGCTCATCATGTAGCTACAAGTAATTACAAAATGCGTGCAAAAATTCAGTAGTGTGTCACAAACAGTTCAATGAAATATAAGCTTAATAAAGTCGGTATAATTAATAATTGCTGCCAACTTTGTGAAGTGGATTTTAGCTAATTAATGGCGGTTATCAAAACCAAATTAGTGTAAAGTTACGCAACACGCTCGAAACATCGGATTGAACTAAAAGAAAGGAATTTCTCTTTTCAGACCAGAAACAAAATACATTAATCGGTTAAATGCATATCAAATTACCCAACCAAAACAAAAATGTTTCATTGAACTATAAGTAATTTGCGATAGCCAGTGATTTATGGTATCGTTTCTTTGAGCCATTAAAAAACGACTAGAGAAGTCAATGCATAACTCGGTTTCTCTTCAGTGTTATAACAAAGCCCACATTATCCTTTGAAAATAAAATATTTTATATTCAAAGATATTATTCAATAACAATTATTTTGGATCCAAAGTCTATTAAATACGAACTGAGTCCTCTCTATGGCACCCCTACCATAGATCCCTTCTTGATACTAAGGCCTTTGTTCATAGATCGTTACTTGGAGGTAGATAATGCACTTTTGAGGTGCACTAGTTGTGGAATCGAAAAGTGGATATCTTTGGCAAAATACCTACATAGAAAAGCAGAGTTTTGGGGCATTGACTTGAAACAACGCCTAGCTTCAAAGTTTCAAAATTGCTGACTATGGCATTTACATGTTTCGCTTAAAACATCGCATTTAGACTATCGAAACCATTCAAACCTATAGACATACTAGCTAATTGAGCCCCAATCAACTCACTTTCCTTTCCATGAGTGCTTCGTTACCAGAAAACAGGCAATATCGTGATTATCCGACAAAGGCATCATCTTTAGCCGACTGCTTCCCACATAGATCACCTTTTGAGATGTTTTGAAGAACCGGCTCAGACTCCAGATATGTAGGCAAGTTGAGTCACATTACAGATGAACAGCTAACATTGACGAATTTAAACAGCTACCACTTTTGGGGGAGTTCTCAGCAATCAGCGATCAACTCAGCTGTTTTTGTTTTGAAACACGAAAGTGACAACCCATCGTTGCTGACGTCCAACGTCAGTTAAATCTGGCGTTAGAGCCACCACTAAAATGTGACAACGTCGCGGAGCAGTCTGAATAAACGAAAACAAAAACCGTTGAAAATGCCGCTTAATGGAAAGATTGAATCTGATGAACATTTAATGGATCCATTAGAGGGCTGTTATCAAAAATCTTTACTCAGGGAAACCGTATGGCCATTAGCGGAGTTCAGCATGCATTAGAAGTTAGATTATGTGCTGCAAGCATCGAAAAGTAGGATGGAAGCCAAAAAATTTAAGTCTCCAGTAGGATATTTTGAAAAAACCCGGATTTACTTGAAGAATAGTCATTTGCATGGGCTGAAGTACATAGAAAGTGGGGAAAGACATGTTTCTATAAGGTATATAACAGGCGTGCATTTTGGGTACCAAGGTATAAAAAATTCGCTTATTTTGGTTATTCGAATGATATTTCAGATTATTTTGGGCCGGAATTTTCTTAATTTGTTGCTGCGTAATGGCATTGGTGTTCATCTCGCTTGTTCGCACCTACCAGGAAAATTCGATAACTTTTCTTACCGAAACCACCTATTTGGAGTGGAACACCTCATTTCCCTCGGTCTCAGTTTGCCAAATATCTGGCGCCGATATGTCGCTGATTGACCAGTAAGACTAAGACATCTGAAGACTTTTTGGACTTATTTCGATGGTTTCCAGGCCTTTTGATCAGCGGGACAACAAAGCAATGCTGGAGTTTTTTATTACCGACTTGCTGTTTTTTTCTGGCAGTTGCTACGCTTGCCAGTATGAGTGTTTCTCCTGCTCCAAAGTGAATATTTCGCAAATTATTCAAAAAGTTAGTCATTTAATTGCATTTTGCTTCTTTAATTGCAAAAGGTTTTTTTCAAAAATTTAGCTTCGCAAACCTTGTTCGAAGATTTTATCAAGCTGCAAATGGAACGAGAAAGAGTTCAACTGTTGCGACCAGTTTCTGCCTCTGGAAACCGAGTATGGGGTTTGCTTCTCCTTCAACTCTCTTCATACTAAGCAAGTGTTAATTGAGGCCTGGAAACTTTTAAGGATTTTTAATAACGCAAACGCTCTTTAGGAACCCGAACGAGGAACTGTTAAATCTGCAAATGAACAGGGAAACTGGAACAGGGAAACTTTCGATTGAGACGATTGAAGACGTCAGGGTAAAAGGGCATTTTATGAAAGTTTCCAATTTCACTTTCACGTTTCAGGTGTACATTCATGGGCCTGAAGAGGTTCCTTTCATCAACGCCGAGTCGAACTATATGAAGGACATTTTGCTTGGCGAGCATTATGAGATATTGTTTAATGTAAGCATGATTTGCCTATTTTGGTTGTTAGCCGTTTCCAAAAATCTTCGCAGGTAGTTGAAATCGATAACGATGCAAGAATAATCGAGCTCCCTTTGTGGAAGCGAAAATGTCGATTCCCTTGGGAACTTCCTAATAATCTTCGGGTTCATCGCTTATACAGCTACTCAACTTGCCTGGTTCAGTGCCATGCAGATAATCACTTTCGAATCTGCAACTGTACTCACCATCTGATGCCTTACTATAGTAAGGACAAGAATCGCTGATTTTCCCTTTGCGCAGCAATTTTGTTTCAGATAAGCGCAGCTACTGCGATATCGAGGGCCTAAAGTGTTTGACTAACAATTTTGGTAAGTTGAGGGATTATGCGAGTGTTTCCATGTGGTAGCTTCTATCTCCTTGAGGGTTAACAATTTCTAATCCCACTAGCCAAAGAGAGCTCTGAAGATTGACTATCAAAAACGTGCGAGCAGTTAATTGGAGTTTTTCTAAGGTTTCTGAGATGTTTTTAGGGGCTTTAAGCCTCAACCGCTCCAAACTGTTTAAAATTCTGCCTCTATTTCTTTAGAGGTTAGGAAACTGTGTAAGGTTTTCCATTAGCAGAGAGATCTTAAGACGCTCTATTGAAAAGGTCATTACATGTCAATGGATATTTTCAGCTGTTTTGAAGATATGGGGTGTTCTAAAACGCAAGAGCGGTCTAACGTTGGTACTTTTTTACAACCTTTTGGCTGAAGATGGATCTCGAAAAGTTCATTATAAGTTAAATGATATTTTCAATGGTTTTSTAGATATAGGGTGATTTATAGGCCTGGATAACTCAATTAATYTTCATAGCGGGAMTTTCGTGCGCCAACACAATGCACCGGCGCAGTAACTCAGTTCGCTTGCTGGGAATATGTTGATGAGTTTTTTCACTTSTTTTTAAATTTATTTTAAGGGCCATTTGTCAATAATATTTTTAACATTTCTTCAAAATTTCAGAATTTTCCGGTTTTAGCAAAGTTACKCTTCTCTCTAAATGCTCAATTTTCTAAAGATTYACTTAAAAATGCTGACAATATTAAGGTATTTTCCGCGGAACTGAAYAGCTTTTTTTCTGGAACCTTTTACAGCTTCGAATTTTGGACAAAACTMAAAATTTCTTCTGGATTTTTTCCCAAAAATATTTCCCCGAACAGAACAAGTGAGAGTTTAGAATCAATTATTCGGAAAACGCGTCACTTTTGTCGCTGTGAATAATTTGGTTTGTTCAAATTCCGGTTTCTTCACTTTTAGGTCAATATTTCTTAACAAAACTCTCTCTGAACAGAACAACGCATTTTTTTCTATAGTTTTACTGTAAAATWCTGGCAAACGGAGAGTCTTTTAYYCRAAAAAGTTAAAAAATKGATTTACAAGAAAAGTCAGTTTGGTCTTCTTTRTCGTCTGTTTCGAATACCCATTTTACCTTTGAATTTGGGACAAAATCGAAACAAAGTTATCTYGTTTTTTTCGACAAACTTTAGGTTTTCTCAAAAAACGTCCAGAAAAAGCAAAAGCGCAACTCAACACAGTGTTACCCAGGCCTAGTGATTTAAGCCGCAAGCGCCGCAATTCGTCGTTTGTGCTTATTTCTTTTAGAGGTTAGAATTTTGCAAGAAAAAAATTTTACTCAAAAGATATGTTGAACCGTTTGCAATATTGAGCGGTTTTAGAAACTGTAAATCGGCTACACTCGAAAGGTTCCGATAAGCCTGGATTAAGCTGTGACTGTTATCCCTCCTGCACCGAGCCTGAATACAATATCGTTTCAAAGGAGAAAAGGTGAGTAAAACCAGTAGTAGAGAAGTGTATAAATTGAAATAATAATAAAAGACACAAACGACATCAGCCATAGGAACGAATATTTCAAATATAACAAAACGTGTGTCATACACTATCAAATTATGCACTAGATTTTTAAAAAATTGTAAATTCTCAGCTCCAACTACTCAAGTAGTGGAATCACTATCGAGATGCAGTCGCTGCCCACATCCAGATTCAAGAGGGTTGTTGTTAAAAATATCCTGGACTTGGTGGGTAAGTTTTTTAAGTTTTCCAAAAAAAAAATTAAAACTGGGGTGGTTTTAGTTTCTATTGGAGGAGCAGCCGGATTCTTCATAGGAGCTTCATTACTCACCGTTGTCGAAATAATTTACATCTACTTTATAAGAACATAGAAAGTCAGGGTTTGTTCAATGAATTCGGACAGTTCTAGCCGTTATTTGTCAATTAATTACCGCCAATCTGATAAAGATGAATATCTGCTGGTTCAACTTGCTTGGAAAGAGTGAAGTTTGCTGTCTTAGAGGCAAAAAGTTTCGCGTCCAGGCCGTCATCAAGGATTCCAGCGAAGTGAGTCAAAGCGGCTTTTAACAAATAATGTTTACTGAACATCTCTGTAGATTTGAGTGCATTTTCAGACAAATAAACGCTAATTTACCCAGTTGGCCGTGGTTTTATCCCGCAGGAATCTGCCATTGCATGGAGCAGTGCACATTTCAGCCTACTATGGTTGCAAAATGTTTTTTTTTCAAAAGCTTGGTAATCGAAGAAGAAGTTTTTTCTGACTACTAAAGAATTCGTCTGTTGTTGCCCTTAGAAAACACCTTAAAAATAATGTGTTTTCTTCCACAAGGTTTACTTCGCTTTGTTTGGACGGCCACTAGCTGAAGCAGACAAACAATAGCGGATTTTGGTGCTGGAGACATGCCAATGTACGGGTTTGGAAGCAAGGGACTCGTGCAGGAATTTTAAAAGGCGATTGAAGCAAATGCACCTTTGTACAATTAATTCTTCGAGTTCTGTCCACCCCTTTCGCCGTTCTTAAGAAGCGTCGTCCCCTTTCCCCAATAAAAATGCCCAGTCAAGATGTGCAAGGGTTGCTTTCACCAGTTTTACCAATACGCTATTCCTGCAGGCGACATTGATTAGTTGCCTAAAAAAAACTCCCGACTGGACGTTGCGGACATTACTATTCGGCCCTTTGTGTTACGAGATTATAAATCTACCTTTCTCGGCAAAAGTTCTGCCAGCCACATATTATTTTTTTAGATTGCGGCGACACCAGATCGGGTTTTTTCCTTCGATTTATGGCCGCTTTCCATATCGATTCTGGCGCCTAAGGTACAATGTATTTGCGAACACGCTGAAAATTAGTTTTCCCCTATTAATTAATGCCTTATTGTGCCCCGGGCTGCATTCAAAGGTGATTATTATTATTTTTATTTCACTTAATCACTTCTTTCCGCGGAAAATCGCTTTGTTTCGGAATTTTATAATTGACTGTTGGGGGTTTTGCGTTTCAACTGAAAAATCGCTTTATTCTCCTTAAATCGCACGCGATTTATTCCATTGATGGATTGGGGATTGGAAAAGTTGCCTAAAGCCGAACCAGAAGATTGCCAAAGCCGAACTGTTCATTTATATAACGAAGTGTGTATCATACATTGTTAAATAATTGTATATACTTTCCTGACTGTGTTTCAATTCCAAATCAAAATTAATTCCTGGGTTTCAGTCATTTATTGTCTTCATTTATCAATTAAACTACGTTTCGGTGTATTTTTTTCACCATCATCAGTTTTTCTAAAATAACAGATA